CTCGTAGGGAGCGGCTCGCGGTAGGCTTCTCTCCTTGGTCAGTGCAAGGCCCGAAACAGGCGAGCTACGTCTTGTGGCTAGCGAAGTTTATGGCCCCAAAATCTTCTGGTCTGGCGAGGCCATCAGAGCCGCTTGAAAAAATTGGCATCAAAGTTGGCGTGAGCTGTCTCAAAATGCCTTCTCAAGTTGTACCCTTTACACACCGATAAACACTCATTGCAGATTAAACACACGGGCCTCCCACTGACATTTACACACAAGTACTTCTCTTTCCACTCGCTGTTGAATTGCCGGTTTTCGGTGTCAACCTTTCGTTTTTTTAACGTAGAAAGAGACATTTTGATATCCAACTATGCTGACCAGGTTTGATTAATCGTACCATTGGCGCGAAACCGTCGAAGGTGCGCGAGCTTGTAGTGAAGGGCAGCGCGAGCCGCGAGGACGCGCGCAGAGACGCAATAAATGACAGGAGTTGCTAGTAAGTGGGTTCGAAACCCGAGCCCGCCAAAGTTTTCAGGCAATGTCTTCCCCTCTATCTCTCAATGTAACACCCTCTCAGGAATAAAGGCACTCTGGCAAAAAAAAAAAATTTTTTTAATTAAACTTTTATTTTTTATTTTTTAACATTATACTCAAAGGGCCAGTAAATATCACCCGGGGGCCGGATTTGGCCCGCGGGCCGCCAATTGAATAGCCCTGGTGTACGTATAGGATCCCCTAAGCTCTTTTATTTGTCATTGTTACTCACTTAAATGTCTTGATAGGGAAAAAGATGTAAAGGTCTGAGCTGCAGACATTGTGCCGTGGATTATATCTATTGACATAGTCTGTTTATTTAAGATGTGTTAATAAGAAGGCAGAAGGACGTATGCTATATTAAGACTGCAACCTTGTACACGCAAACATACTTGGACACTTTTGCGCTTAAAAGTCTAAAGTTAATTTATTATAGTTTAGAACTTGGGTACACAAATGCTTAATTCACACTTGACACATTGCCTTCTCTATTAAAAGGGTCACATTCTTCAAAATTCAGAGCCTTCGCAGTACCTACCTTCAAGGCAGCCCTGATAAACGACCGCCTTTTCTTTTTTATGTCTCGTGTTTCAAATGAATCTTCATTACACTTCAAAGAGCATTTTACAGCCTATTGTATCAAACAAGGAAAAAATAGATGCTACTTTTTTACACATTTTACAGGCATTTTGTAAGCTATGACTATCAAATAATTCAGTGCATTTTCTACCTAATTGTAATGGATAAAACATTTATTTTACAGCACTATCCTGTACTTCAAATGTTCCTTTTTCTCTACAAACACATTCTGTCCTATCCAGACAATCCAAATGTATTTAGGATTTCTCCTGATAATCTTCCTGGAATACTAATGTAATAATAAAGCTGAAGTAAATAACATAAAAATACCTTTTAATCTGACTGTAAATCTCTGAATCCTTGTTTATTTCATGTGACTTCATTAGATCTTTGTTTCCTGTTTGTGCCACAAAGGAGGCCATTGTTGGTTGCTAATCATTTTCATCAAAACCACAATCAATGAATAGAGCTTTATTATAGTCCCAGATATTGGAACAGGTCCGCTCAGCTGATTCGGGATTTGTGCATTATTGGTTTAGAGAAGATGTTTTGCAAGTTGAAGGTCACAGGTTCACAGAAATGTTCACAGAAAGAGCTCTGGAAGTCTGGCAAGACATCTCTTTTCACTTCCAAATGTGGGGTCATTCCTGGCATGATGTGATTCGCTGTGCATGGCGTGCTGTTCTGCTCAGGATGAACACTTTTGAGGGGAAGAGCTTTACAGCACCAGGTCCTCTCATCATCATCAGATTTCTTGTCATTATCCTTAGATCAAGACCACGCCATCAAGTGGCTGAAATGACGGGTGTGGTAAAGAGAGGCTGTCTCTGAAATGCATTCTGATTGTATTCTTCAGAGATCCCATTTAACCGAAACAGGCGAGAAGAAATACAGTGAGTGGAAAAAGAAATAGCAAGATGAGGAGAAGAGGTGTGTGTGTGTGTGTGTGTGTGTGTGTGTGTGTGTGTGTGTGTGTGTGTGTGTGTGTTGTTCTCAGTTATTGCATCATTGTGTCATATAATCTAACCCTCCTTCTCTGCCTTCCTTCTCCCCTCTGTGTCCATATAAATCTGCTCTCCGGGGGTCTGTATGGTTGGCTTGTCTTATGCTTTCAAGGAAACTGTTGTTATTGAAACCATCCATTTACGCCTGCACATTCTCGCACAGTTTCCTCAACAACATTCTTCTAATTGTCACTGTTAAAATATGTTGTTTATCACTCACTTTGTTTGTATGATGAGATATCGGGCACTGTAAGGAACATTTCTGCATTGTGTGTCGTCCCCACAGGAAAGACTTCAGAGGACAAATATGCCCATTTCCTCTTCTTGTAACCTCACTTCCTTCCTCACTTCTGCTCTCACCCCTCCTCTTTGCAGTCTTCGCCTGTTTGGTTGGTCACGATGTGCACAGTGTCTGCATCTGTATTACTTATATATTCAATCTTTATTATGTCCTCTTAAACAGATTTTTTCTAATGAATTTGTGAGGTTGTGTGTGGGAGTACACCCAAGTGTAGCATCACGTCACAGATGTTAACATTTTTTTGGACATTCCTCAGTTAAAATGTGTCTGCTTCAAATCAGTGAAGTGTAGATCAAAAGTATGAGGGAAGACTAGGCTAATGTCTGTGTAGCAGTGTGTGCCTTGGCAGTAATCGACTCACATCTGGAACAAATTAACCCCAAAACCTGCATGTAACAAAACCACAGTCAATCATCACATAGACCCACAGAGAGACACACACCATCACACACACACGTGTTCATTGGGCTGCTCCTGGAGCCGTCCAGTGGTCGGTCACGGCTATATGGGTAGCATGTATCTGCTTAACCTCTCTGATGAGGGCGTCAGAGCAGGAGCCTCAATCAGTTCCTCTCCCTCGTATCGTCTAACCAGAGGAAATCTAGGCCACTGAGGGGAGGAAAGGGCAGGGAGACATACTGTAGAGGGAAGCGCTGGGGGGGCGCTGTGATATGGAGGGGCAAAGGAGTGTGGACTTATACGTTTGATGTTTTAGCTTGTTTGTTCTGTAATCTACCATACTTCTACCAGTCCATAGCCGCCTCATTTCCAGCTCTCTTCTGTCTCGTTCCCTCTCACCTCGTTCCCTCTCACCTCTTTCCACTTTCCTTTTCTCTTGACATCAGCTAATCCCTCTTTTATGCATATTGTGAGGATGGGACTACCATTAAAAGTATTTTTTAGGCTGACCAACTATAAATGTTCATTGCTTTAAATATTCAACACAAGGTTTTTACTAGAATATCTTTAGTGTCCTCTCTGTCTTTGGCCTAAAATCTGTTTTCTGTCACGGAATAATAATAAAAAAGTAGATCCCTGGTAAACTGGCCCATACCGTGTACATTTGAATCATGTTCCAATGACCATCTTTCAAAATGAAGGGGAAAAAAGGTGATAGTCCTTTTAGTAACAAAGCAGACAAATACAAGATCAGTGGTCTTAAATATAAGATATATATATATAATATAAGAAATAAAGCTGTGAGCAGGAATATGCTTTATGTCACCAGTGCATGTCTCTCGATACTTTAAGTTCATTTTTCTGATACAACAGCTGATTTACCTACAGTAAGTGAGATTTTGAATGCAGGACTTTCACTTGTTATGGAGATAGTGTAAATACTTCTTCCACTTCTTCTTCTGCATTTCATAATGAATACTGTCATTGTTCAAACTGGTATGTTGCTCAGTCTGAGATTGATATCGGTCATGGATTTGAAATGGATTTATTTGAGTTTTCTAGGCCAATACTCATATAGGACTGAGAATATGGGACCAATTCATTGTTAATATCCATTTAAAAAGTATATAATACATGTCTTTTTGAAAACAACACCAAAACAAAAAAGTTGGAACAAGTATGCCTGTCACCTGAGCAATTAGCACCTTGACTTCTATCAGCTCTTTTAACTTCTCCATGCACATCAATAATGAAGGAATCATATCACACAAAAGGTGAGTGAACATGACACTGGTGAATAATCACTTAGGAAGCTTTTTCCACCACACTTAGCTGACACCAGCGGATCACTACAGTCAAGCATCCATATTGTTTTCCAGTAATATACTAGAGACACAGAGTGCTGCTTCTTGATTGGATGGCAATCGCCGTTGGTTCTCTTTAAAAGAGAAACCTGAGAAGTGCTAAAGTTCAGCCTGGGCGTTCATAGTGATTTAATGGAGTGTAAAGGGATAGTCCTCCAAAGATGATGTAATATGTGTATCTGGGACAGCCCTCTCTAACCCTGTGTTAGATCATCAGTTACTGCAGCAGTCAGGACCTCGCCATACGGCCTCACTTACACCCTGTGGAATCATGGGAGACGTGCACATAAGCCCTCCTAATCACACAGAAACAAACACTACAAGCAATACGCACATGTGGATTTCTAGTGTTTCTTGGAAATGAACTTGGTAGCATCTGTTGGTATTTTAGCAGGCTTTAGTAGGGATTGTGTCCATGATCCTCCCATAGTGTACGTCAGGGCTATTCAATTAGTTTGGAATGGGGGCCGGTTGATGAAAATGATCCAAAGCAAGGGGCCGGGAAAAAAATGGCTTGAAATATGAGCAATCATATTAAGAGCTTCAGATACAGTAAATACTACAGCAGGTCACCCTTGAAAAAGAGTTCAATGATCTCAATGGGAATTACCTGCATAAATAAAGGTATGAAATGAAATGACTACAACAGCATAGTGGAGTGCATATATTTTGTTTAATTAAATCAAACATAGCCCCAAGGCCTTTATAAATGGCAAGTTCAGAACTCAGTACATGTGAAGCTAATATAACCATCAACATCATTAGATTTAGATTAAATGATCGAATAATTCACACAAAATAGCAATTTAGGGCCATACACAAACAACAGTGCATATTATGGTATAATAACAATAAAGACAAGTGAGCCATACCACATCAATTGCTTAATTAAAAGCAAAAACAATTATCAAAAGACTTGTATTAATTACCAAACCACAACACACAGCCTTTTAAAACTCAAACCTTTTTTGATAAAAAAGGTTTGAGTTTTAAAAGGCTGTGTGTTGTGGTTTGGTAATTAATACAAGTCTTTTGATAATTGTTTTTGCTTTTAATTAAGCAATTGATGTNGGGGGGGGAGACGGCTCTCAGCTGCCTGCCTGCCTGCCTGTGCGTGCGTGCGTGCGTGCGTGCGTGCGTGCGTGCGTGTGTGTGATGACCTCAGCAGCACTTAAAGCAGCCTGTGATTGCATCCGTTGTCCTCTGTCTGTGTTTGGGTGTCTGTCTGGTTTTTTCCCCACAGTGCTTTCAGCTCTATCTCTCATCTGTGTTTATTTAGCAGAAATGAAATGCTACCAAACAAAAATAAGATATAAGAATGATAAAAATGAGTGTGCATTATAATCAGATGTGTTGAGAGAAAATAAGCCAGTGAGACTTATCGACACAAAAACATAGTCAAATGACAGGATCTCTTGCAGCTCAAGCCTGACATTTAATACAGTCAGTAAACAAGTACGGGTGGGGTGGGGGGGTGTTAGAGACTAAACGAAAAACAAGGATGTTAGATGCATCATGTGGATGCATTAAGTCTCTCCACAGTGCAACACCATTCACATCTAACGAGATCAAAGAAGTAGAGCAGATGCAGACTTACACTAGTGACCCGTCTGTAGATCTGGGCCGCGTTCTGACACTCAGAGTAGGGGTACTCTGATGTAGCCATCTCCAGCATACACATCCCAAAGGCGTAGACATCTACCGACTCATCATACTTCTCCTCATACATCTCTGGAGCCATAAACTCTGGGGTTCCTACGGAAAGGAGAGAGAGGAAAAACAAAACTGTTACATCAAAGCTAAAAAACGAATTGTCTCAGTCAGATAATGTAGGAAGAACATCCTCAAATATTTAAATCATTTATGCATACTAAAAGCTAGGGGATTTTTTCCCTTCACAATCAGAGATATGTCAATAATAGCAAACAAATTGGTTTTCATCAATTTCTTTAAACAAAACTGTGCCCCATAATACAGAAGCATAAACACAGTGGAAACCAGGAAAAGAGCATGTATGCGCAAACATTTGATCAACATGAGAAATCTGGTTCAATCTGGATTAAAACAATTCTTTAAAAACTCTAGGATTTAAAAAGCCAGAGCCCTAGATCAAAAGCCTGATGTGATAAAACCCATTACTTTAAGATGTAATAACCAAGGAATACAAAAATGTGGTTTCAATGTGGACATTTCTTTTCATAAGGGTGTGTATTAAATCTACAGTTTGTTATAGACTCATTATAGCAGTGGTTCTCAAACTTTGCTGTGAAAGTCCACCGCCGTTGCGAGTCTCCGGCTGTAAACAGTCCACTACCGCCCGCGAGGACCCAGGTTCGATTGCGGCCTGAGGTCCAAAAAGTTTATTAAAAAAAAATAAAAAATCTCCCGTTCATCGCGTCAATTCGCAACCCACCTATCACATCTCTGTGCCCCACCAGTGACACTTTGAGAAACGCTGCATTATAGGGACTAAGGTTAACTTCAATCATACAGTATGTATGCCATATACAATGACACAGCCAACATTATCCAACAACTAAAAAGCCAAAAATGTCCTTTATGATGCATAAGGGTTATGCATAAAAAGTCCCTAAATACAGCTGGAGATTTAAAATTACAAACTCACTTACTGGTCAAACATAGTAGCCGTGTTGCATTGTTACACCTTTATACATTTGAGTGTGTGTGTGTGTGTGAGTGTGAGTGTGAGTGTGAGTGTGAGTGTGAGTGTGAGTGTGAGTGTGTGTGTGTGTGTGTGTGTGTGTGTGTGTGTGTGTGTGTGTGTGTGTGTGTGCATGGCTACAACTGTCCAAATACCTGAGGTCTGCCTAATTACTCCAAAGCAGCTGTGAGCTTTACAAAGCATATCATTCTCACCTCAGCTTCATGAGAGTATGCACAATATGCGCAAATCTGTACGAACACCAAAATATCTGCGGTTAGCTACACAACTGGAAGGCTTCCAAGTTAACACGGAGCAGAGCTGTCACTTTTTACTCAACTTCATTTAAGGTATGATATGCCGGGTGTGTTTGTGGTGTATTTTTTAAGTGTGTGTGTGTACGCAGCTTTCACATCCCCAAACCGCATAATCCGACCTTCACAGCAGACTGAGTGGTGTGTATTTCAGATTTCAAATACCTGCGGTCTGCTTTTACAGCCAGACATTTTAGAAGCAGTAAAATTAATCTGCATAAGGCGTGTGCACAATGTGTCTGTGTTCATTATGCTTCGAAGAGACAGCATGTGTGGATGTGAAAATCCATAAATAATGTCAGCTGTTTCACTTTCCGCATCTCAAACATTTCATTCAGATATACAGCTTCATGTCTGAGTACAGATTGTAGTGTGTGGGATCATAGAGAAAAGGGAGGTGTGTTTTCAGTGGCTGTGAGTATGTTTTTTCATACCTATGACACTCTTGGCGAAGGAGGCCCTCTTCAGCGTGGCTAAGCCCAGGTCCCCAATCTTCACGGAGCCTGTGGGCCCTGTGATAAAGATATTGTCACACTTCAGGTCCCTGTGGATGATGGGCGGGGCTCTGGTGTGCAGGAAGTGAAGGCCTTTGAGGATCTGTCGGCACCAAGAACGCAGGACCTTGATTTTCATCACCTTGAAGCGCTTCAGGTAGCTGCAGGACAAAGGAACATCACACATAAATACATGTCGCTCAACCGCAGATTAAGTGTACAAAAATACACAAAGCGCTGCCGATTCAAAGCCACCACATATTCAAAAGCTGTGTATCCTGTTCAAGTGGCCTTTGTTCTTCACAGCAACTGCCACTTTTCTATTTTAAAGGACACTGTAAAAAGACACTAGCTTAAAAACACACGTGTCCTTCTATGCATTTCATTTTTTATTCGTAACATCATATTATTGAGTTTTAGAGACACTCTAAATATTCAACGGGAATATCCTTTTTGCAAGACCCTGAAAACCATCAATGCATGATTGCATTATTTCAAATCAAAGCTTTGAGAGGCAGACAATAGTCAGATAAGATGCAGCAACAAAACCCGGATAATGAGTCAATTCAAGATCAAAGCTTACAACCAAAGAGGATTACTGTAAAACAATTCCAGCTTAAAAGATAAAGACTCACACAGACATACATGTGGGCATAAACACTGACACACACACACACACACAAAATAGACAGGATCTCACTGACACACATTCTGGCATCTGCAGGGTAAGACACTGATATCATGATGACATACTAAGGCAAACAGATTTTGCCTTATTTTACATTTAGTTAACAGATATCTGTTTCAATTTGGATACAAACAAGACAATGAGAGACAGCCATTTGTTTATTTATTTGACTATTTAAAAAGGAGAATTCTATTGAAGCAGCCATTTAAACATTTAGTAAATGTTGCATTCATATACAGTAAAGGAAAAAATCCCATTACAAAATAATGTAAATGTCCCACTCCAAGCAACTTGTAATGAAACGATAACAGCCATGGTAATGAACGTCATTAGAGCCTTTTGAATGTGCTTTCTAAGTGGGAGCTGCCCATTATCCTGACCCCCATGGGTGGAAGGCAGGGAGGCTTCACAGAGCTGACACAGATCCACAGCAGTGGGGGATCACATTGTTTGTACGTTCCGACATGTGGGGAAAACCCTCCTGATTTGATGAAAAGACTTCAGTCAATCTTTGAGAACTCTTTCACAATTCATATGACTACATTTGAACCTGAAACTGTTCCCAATTTTCTCCAGTCAGGTGGAGACTTGTTTGTGTTTCTCTGTCAAATAAAAAAGCTCATCCTTGATGTATTCACTGCGTTTAATTCAATGTCCTTGCTGCTAAATGCACAGAATTCCTGAGTAAAATGCTCAGGAACTCTGCAAAACAGTTTTGACTGGCAGTGAGCTAAGATCCAGACTGCAGGTAAAAGCTCAGGTGGACTCTGTGTCATAATCAGAGCAGATTCAAATGTATTAATTATAGGTGGCATTTAAATTAGAATTTAAATAAGCAATTACTTGTCTGTGTCTAAACTCCATTGAGGGAATATTACCAACGCTAATGGCATGACTAACCCTGTAAAACAATGACAGCATGATGGGGTCTAATAACCAGACTCCTCACCTTTCTCGAACTTTGTATTTGTTCAGTTTAAACCATTATTGAATGAGTCTCTCCCGCATTATATAGACTCTATATAATGCAGGAGAGACTCATTCAATAATATTATAGAGGCAGTTACATGAGAATAAGGCCGGCAACAGACAGGGTGTCCTCTCTTCTGTTCTGGGCCTCTGATGAACTGTAGCTACACAGTGGTTATTGGCTATACTACAGTACATACTGACACCAGTTGCTGTTCACTGTGGACAACATTAACTTGAAAACAATCAGTCAGCCCATTCCTCCTACAGTGGAGTAGAACCACATTAGGGCTGAACGAATGATGTTTTTCCTATCAATTAAGCATTAAGAGTATTTTCTCCAGAAAGCAACATTGTTTGGTCTAGAAATTCTCCAGAAACTATTGAAAAGGGCCCATCACAATTTCCCAGAGCTTCATGTCTTTGAGAGTTAAAACTGCTTATCTTTTCTAAACAATGGAAAAGACATTTCCTTTATTACAGCGTGAGATAAAGGAGAAGCACATGTTGACAAAATGTCAGTCTGGACTGGAGTTTTGTCTCTTTTATATTCTTTTACTATTTATCTTTAGAAGTTGGACGGAGGAATTGATAAGACAGAAATAGCTTGGTGGATTCCCATATGCTCAAAGGGACTGTTCCTTTGGGGCATGGAACACATTTCAGGCTGAAGACAATATTTTGTGGATTTCCTTACGGCTCCTACACACGGCGGTGTGCGTTGTCGCTTGCCGGCGGGGGGGGCTGAAACTCGACCAACAACCAATCACATGAATCTCCCGCCCCAGACACACAAGCACGCGGTTTGATTGGCTAGAGCTTGTACTGGCATATGATTCGATTGGCTGACGCCTCCGTTGAGTCGGCAAAAGTAGAACATTGCTCTACTTTTGCAGCGAGCACCGCGAGAGAAGCTACGCTTTGCTCCCACAATGCAGTTCGGTGAATCGTGACGTCACCCCATTCAAAGTGAATTGGCAGAAGCGTTGAAGCGGCAACGCACGCCGCCGTGTGTAGGGAACGTTAGGACCAGAGCTAAAAATGCACAGCTGCATGACTTCAGTTTTTATGATACACATTTCAAACTTCTTCCTCAACCGCCTCCCATAAATCTTATAAGAAGCAGTGCTCTTTTGTCCGCCCCCTAACCTTCCTTTCCTTTACCTAGCTGGCCTCCTCTCCCTCGCCTGTCTCCTCGGCTTTGTTTCTCTCCCTTTCTGAAGTCAGAGCGGTGCTGACAGACAAGTTCAACTCTGTGGCATGTGAGGCTTGAATGACACTGTACAAAGCATGGCTCGCACTCAACCACTCAGCCATGCTCTCTTTTCAACAACCATACCAAAAACCAGATACAGTTGAAGAAATATGTGCATCAACAGTACATGTATGTATACAGTATTTGAACAGTGCACATACATGTTTGAACAGATACTGTAAGCCTTCAAACACAAACACACACCCATGGACACACACAGATAAGGGGCCTGTAACTGACGCTGGTCAGTGTCTCCATCCTGACCGACACCCTCCCTTCCTATCAGTCCTCCCTCTCACCGTCTCACTCTTTTCCAGCACACAGCAGCGCCTCTCCTTTCTGAGGCTGCCTCTGGAGGACAGCCAGACCTTGTGCAGCCGGATCCTGTGCATATATGTACATGCATTCGCCACATTTACAGTGAGGGACTGTTTAAAGGACACTTTCCCAAGAGATGCCTGTTAGCTACTTTTCAAATGTAAATATGTTCTGGTTTCCTTCCCTAAATGGATATGTTTTGTGTAATTGAAATGTGTTTCTGTGAACTTTCTTTTGTAGCTTTCTCAAACATGCTGGATCAGATGCAGCATGGCCAACATCTGAACATTGTAATACCTATATAAAACTTCCAGTGGAGGGTGCTGCTGTGCTGCTGGATTAATGCTCTGTCTAACTGTGGTCACAGGTGTTTCATTAGTTTGTCCCTCTGCCTTGGACCTAAAACCAGCATATATAGTTATTCATTTGACCTTTGACTTAGTATCTGTCATCTGTTCCACCTCTTCAGCTGACTGTCTCAGTGTCAGCTCCTCAAATTGTTCACTTTCTTCTTCCTCTTTCTGTGACTCTGCATAAAACTAGTCTGTACCCACCGCCCCCCCCCCACATGCCTGGCTTGGTCTCTCCCTCTGTCTGGAATGACAGGAATCTGCAGCAGAAGCAGCAGCTGGCAGGTGGGCCCATGTCCCACCATGCATTGCGTGGGGCACGGCGTGCGCCACACACCCTGCATTTAGCCTTTTATTGTGTGAGGAGCTCAACAATCACATTGTCATTCATGGACACACATCTATTCTGTACAGGGGAGTGGCATGCAGTCATGGCATGGACAATGACACAGATGCATTGATTCACTACAGAGCATTTTGGGGAGGGGAGACACTGACAGACCCCCCTAATATCAGCATTCAAACCAGAGATTTACAGCTCACCACACACAGAAAAAGGGTTCTCCTCATACTTCTGGAGATTCTCATCTTATTTTGTGCATTTGGTGATGAAACACCTTACTTGGGAGCTGGATAGATATTGATTTATTACAGTGCATATGTGCAATGCCATTTCACTCTATAAAATGTAATCTGTACATAGAGAGACATTAAATCAACCCCATACAGACACAGGCACATACTGTACATGTAATAAGTCAGTAACAGGAGCTGACCCACTAACAGGTGCACTGCCGGGATGTGATGTGCTGAGATGAAAATGAAGAGGAAAAGATGCATATTAGGTTGACAGGAGAGAGGAAAATCCAGGTGTTGACGTTAGTGGGACATTTCAACAAAAAACTGGCGGTGAGTCATCCTCCATAATGACGGTGCTCTTTAGAAGCAGGGGAGAGGAGGTTGGTAGGAGTGTTTGTGCAGATTCCCTGTGAAAAGTGCTTCACATGATAACGCATGACGTATAGTCTTTGTATTACATTTAGACAGCTTTTCTGTTGTACCAACTGAAAACATATTTGATCTACCTTTCCAAATTACACAGCAATAGTGAATAAACAGAGGCAGCTACAGAAAAGACCCTTTTACCTCTCATGTACTCACGTTTTAAGTGTGCCAGATGTCATGAGCTCTGTGACCAGAACAATACATTTCTTTCCTTTGCATGGGCCCTCCCAGGAGTCATAGAAGCGGACAATGTTAGGATGCTGGAGACCCTTCAACATCCCGGCCTCCTCTTTGAAGCGCTGACGCTCCGACTTGGATAGTTTGCGATCCTGCACACAGGAAAGAAGAGGAAAATGAGTCATAAATAAATAAAAATACTAAGGAAACATTATCAGGAATCTAGAGGGCATTTAACTGAACAAAACGTGTATGTATAGAACAACTCTATCATAGAGAGAGCGATGGCAATCAAGTTAAGAGAGTAGAGGGTTTAAGGGGCGGAGAGTCAAGCTAATCAACAAAAGGAACAGCATTGGATAATAACAACTTATTTTACTCTGACGCAACATTGCTAGAATGCAGATGCACTTTCAGATGCCATATAGTAATAACATGCTGCACCATGTAGGATGTGGATAGGGATAAAACAGTAGACTGCCCTGTTATCTCAACTCAAAGAAGCCACGGAAATCTGTCAGAGTGAGACTTCATTTTTGATCGATTCCTTTTAGTCGTGAAGTACATGCTTGATTTTTCTGAGATGTACTTTGTGACAAATGGTTTGAAACAATTTTTATAGATCGATGATTTGACTTGCAGGAGGGAATACATGGGAATGAATGTGTTGATGTCTTCTTTCTTATCTCCCATATCTGATATGACTATGACTTGTAACTCCACTGTTCTCATAGGGAGTTTGTAGACATGGATGTTTTTCCTCCCGTACAAATGTTTGAAATCATTCCTTATTAATAATATATGGCTGCACTAAATTTAATTTCTGTGGTTTCATTTGAATGTTCTGACTGTGACCTGTTCGCTATAATTATATCCAATGGAAAACATGTAAGTGTCCGTGCTCATAATGCTACACTTAGACAATTAAAGAAATGACAGAACCGAAATATATTACAATTTGAGATGATGGCACCAGAAACATGTATTATTAATGACTGACACCTTGAGGGCGATTTCCTCCCAGATCGCACCATCCCACCAAGAAGCACTCTCCTAAAAAAAAGCACTTCCAATCCACAGCTGTCCTGTGTGTCCTTCGTACTTTGTTTTGTTTGGATCTGGCCGATAACATTGGCACCACGCTTTAACTGAGTCTTTATTAGAAGCGGTCCTAGTCATTCAGCGTGACCCAAACAAGCGGAAGTTACTGTCAACATTCTTCCACCCCGCGGACGTCAAGCTTCTTAGAAATGTCCCGCTCACACACTCTTTAATGGGCATTCCAGCTCTACCACTGACACCTCAATAAACAAATATGCAAAGGGAAGTGTGGGCGTGTCGGAACCTTTAAAGAAGTGTGAGTATGTTTGCATTTATACATCAACATGTGTGTTAAGGTGTTATTCGTCTCAAGGAGAAAACTAAAAAGCCACTATCTATTACTTTGTTGTGGACATTTTGTTTGGCACAAGTATTAGGTATTCGGCTTGTTTGTCAGCTTTAGAGGGTAAGCTTAGTTGCCTTGTCTGACTGTTTTTGCAAATTGATGTTTCTTTTTCTTCTTCAGCTCTGTGTCTAACCACAGGTGACACATTTAGTTCATCAATGCACCAAGAATAAAACATAGTTGCCTGAAAACGACAAAATAAGGTCTAAAAACCACAAAAAAGATTAACGACAAAAACCACAAAAAAGATTTACAACAAAATATGGTCTCAACTTCCCATGTGACTCTAAGTTCTTAAATGATCCATGCAGAATATCATAAAGTCCTCAGAATAACCTGTAGTTACAGTAAGTTGTGTGAAAAGAAACAGAGTAAAAAAAAAAGGGATGCTCCAATTACAACAAAGAGATATTTGAGCGTTGGAAAGAAACGATGACACAAATCCAGAACGTTTAATTATGTCTGTGACCCTATTAGAGGATGAAATGACAGGAACGTGAACAGACAGATTGGTTTGGAGGCAAACACAGAAAGAGCAGCAGGAGTGACACAAAGGCTGTTTGTTGGATCAAAGATACAAAAAACTGAGTAAAGCACAGTGGGAGTTTTATTTTGCATTTTTAGAAGCAACTGTATTTTCAAAGGGATGCAAGATCAGACGTTGGAGGTTAGACACCTACAACATGTCAGGATTATCACCATGACGACCAGTTTTAAAAAGAAGGGCACATTGTCTAAAATTAAACAATTGTAGTTTTTGCTTCAATAAATCCAAAATATTCAAACAGCTTTCATACAGTATATATATATATATATATATATGTTGACTTTTGAGTGCTAGATTTTAATATGTAACAAAAACACATGTTTTTAAAGCTACAGTAACACCAAATCCCAAAATGTTGAGGTAAAGTGGTACTTTATCTCCGACCAAACAACGCTGAGGATTCTGCCAGGTCACAGTGTGCAAGTCTTATTTCATGTTATAAAGCTATTAGGAAAACCTTGTGAGCTGCTTCACAGATTAGGACAATTCTCTGAGGAGATGATCTCATATTGTCACATTGTATAACCCGGGCCTCATCTATATCATATGACTTACACACACTTTACACAAAGGGCGGGAGAGAGAAAGTCTGAAAGCTTCATTGTGGTTTTAAGTGCATTAATGTGTGTACAATCTGTGTGTGTGTGTGTGTGTGTGTGTGTGTGTGTGTGTGTGTGTGTGTGTGGTACGTAAAAGCTTATCCTTTCATCCTGTAGCAGCTACTTCACTGATGATATCCCATTAGTAACTGACACACAGAAACATTCATATGCTTACCAAGCCATACTCTAGGCTTTGGCAGTATCCAGGGAAATTAGGAAAGAAAAGTATGATTTTAACATCAAATAAACAGATGCTCTTCTTTCAATCCAACTGATGATGCTGGGTTTCCGCCCATTTATCACAAGCCTACAGAGCCAAAGCTTCAGGGATGTTTACACAAGTAGTGCACTCCTTTAAGGTACTCTTAAAAAAGTTGTGTGCAGAATATAAGCATGTACGCGCTTGAGAGAGGTGGCATGCACATGATGCTGAATGTAAAGTTAACATTTACTTATAGCTGTATGTTTTTTTTAAGGTTACCCCTTTCCTGTAGTGTGTTTTTTAGGTTTGTGTGCATGCAAATGGTCTGCAAAGGCTAAAATCCCTGTGTTCCCTACAGAGGGAGTTTCTCTCCCACACACAAAATGCACCCAAGGCTAACTTACAGTAATATGGACTTACTGTTAAAGTGGACCTGCTATTCTCAATCTAGTGACAAGCCACCCAGTTTAATGTAGTTCAGGGTTTTTTATAACTTTTCCTTTTGCCCTAAAAAAGCATTATAATTATGAAACACAATCATACATCTTCTACGCCGGTGTGATGACTGGAGAGTATGCGAAAAAAGATACAGCCCAAACCCAGTACTCCCATTGTCTGAATCCCACTGTATTATGATCACATGACCCTGCCGGTGGTCACATGACAATAGCTTTTGGTCACCTGACTAACTGGAAGCAGACATTCCATTTCCAAGCAGCACTTAGTGATATGGGTGGTCAGGGTCTTTCTGTTAGACACCTCCCTCAGGGCAATCGAAGAAGACTTCTCCCTCTCTCTCTCTTACTGAGTGTGAGTGTGTGTGAGTGTGTCTTTATAGATGTGAGCAGAGAAAGCAGACAGCAAGTCTAAGGGGGCTGCCTAATCCATTATTCCTTTTTCATTATACTATAAATGGCTACACAACTCGAACATACAGTAGAGGCTTTGTAGACATAGTAAATGCGTATGTTAAAGAAATATATATAAATAAACTAAATTATTGTTGGCATATTGGTAAGGATTTAATTTGATCCATGGCTCATGAGTATTTCTGCTGACACTTGACAGTGGTTATTTTTCTTTCTCTCTATCCCTGCTTTTCAGCTCCGAGCTTCAAAACATCATGAGACTCGAATTTGTCCAACTCATAAATAGGCACTCACTCTCCTCTCTCTTTCTCTCACACAAACACACTTTCGCTCTTTTGCTATCTTCCTTGAGCCTAACTGAGAACTAGAAATAAGCCAACTATACATCCCTGCCTAAGTGACAGCTCCAAGTCAGTCTGCCCTATTACTGTACTGTCTCACACACACACACACACACACACACACACACACACACACACACACACACACACACACACACACACACACACACACACACACACACACACACACACAAAGCTGACACCCTGTAATCAACACGTCTCGTCTGGACTCCCAACTGTGCTCCAACACTCAGTGATCATCTGCTCTCGTCTGCTTTGGTCTGTTGCACTCCAGAGAGCCAGCAGCACACACACAGCGACAGATGGATGGAGGTTGCAACGAGAGAAAACAGTGTGAGTGCCAGAAATTCAGACAATAAACACTCAGACATTTAAACTGGTACTCCGCTGTGTTCCAACAAATACTATTAAGTGAAGTCTTTACAGTTTCTGGGTGCTGGAAGTCACAGGATGTTGTCTAAAGTGCTTATCTCTCCAGGGGCCAGTGGAAGCCCAAATATAGCATACATAGTTGCATAAGATTGTCTTTGTCACTTATATAACAGCAATTTGTTTTTAACATAAAGGAAACTTATCCATAGGAGAATATGAGAAGATTTGACACCCTCAGAAGGTGTTTAAACCACAAAGTCATGTCAAAATGTTTACATTTAAGACCTGTTACATGCTGAACAGTATGTAAGTGTTGGCAAACCTACAACTGGACTGTTGAAAATGGATGTGGTATTTCTAAGGAATTAGCATGAATAAATGTTTCTCTTTCCCATGAAAGATACCTGCAGTTTCCCATGACATTTACGGCCCGTCCACACAGCGGCGTGCGTTGAAGCTTGCCGGTGGGCGTGTCTGAAACTCGACCAACAACCAATCACAGGAATCTCCCGCCCCTGACACACAAGCAGCGGTTTGATTGGCTAGAGCTTGTACTGGCATATGATTTGATTGGCTGACGCTTCTGCCGAGGCTTCAAAAGTTGAACATTGCTCAACTTTTGCAGCGAGCCACGCCAGCAAAGCTCCGCTTCGTTTCCCACAATGCAGTTCGGCGAAAAGTGAATAGTGAAGCTTTCAACGCACGCCGCTGTGTGGACAAAATGACACGTGGTCATCAAGCATGACTTGAGTGACAGTTTCTGTGGAAGCTGAAGAATATTTGCTCAAGCAAAAACCCTCTTACCCAATCACATATTTCCATGCAACTGATATAGAGATAGTCAGTCGAGTTACATGTCTGGATCAACATTAGCACTTTAGCTGCGTGTAAATAAAGAAATCCAGGAATGCCTGGAGGACATTTCTTCAAATTTGACTTCAAACAAAAATGACCTTTGTTTTAAGTCTGAATAATCATCGTTTCGTTTTACCATGGAAGAGGGGACATGGAGGATGATACATAAAGGGATCACACAAAAGTGGCACATATTTCCGGGAGGTAATCATTTAATCCCAAAGAAAGCTTTGTCCCTTGTTGGATGCATAATTATGACAAAGCCGAGCCAAGACTAATGCTTAACAAAACTCTTTCATTGCGGAATTAATTTAGAGATTATTTTGTTAAAACCACATGATGGAAAGTACTCTGTCCGAGGTCTGCATCTGCCCCTGAAAATAAATGTTATTCTTTTCCTAAAATCATGCATGACGTAATGGTTTAATATGAAAATACACACAAAACCACTAGTGGCATACCTTTTTCTACTGGAAATTAAACCATTTTCAGAATCCAACTTTACTTCAACACTTTTCATCCCAGTTACACTGAAGTGTGTTGCTGACCCATTTCGATGTTCCTCTGATCAATGTTCCTAGCCCTGACCCAAATGTTGAAGAATGTCGGTCTGTAACTGGAGAGAAAGATCCGGACCTGTAAATCTTGATTACATTAAGCCCCTGGGTCGCATGAATGAGCCGATTTGTTTCTATACGCAGTGAAGACCTACAGTGAGGCTGTACGGGGGCACATGCATAAGTGTGTACCTTCGAGTGCATGAAAAAGACCCGGTGTGTTCCATTAGTATATAGCCTTAGTGTCTCTCAGACCCCCTGCACTCTGGAAACACTCCCCTGCAGAGAAGCACAAACCCCCTGCAGCACATGCGCGCTCTCTCACACACACACACACACACACACACCAAAACCTCTCTGAGATCTTTACCACGGCCTGCTATGGTTAGCAGCAGAGAGAGCATCTGCTATGAATAAGAATAATTAGAATGATTGAAAAGAGGACGAATAAGTTCCAGTAAAAGTCAGAGGGGGAGGGAAAGTGAAGGAGAGTGATGTCATCGTTTAAATCGACATTTCAGCAAAACGAAGGAAACACAAAGATTTGAGTTCACACCCTCCTCTTGAGATTTTTTTGTTCGTTTTTCTCCTCTATTTATTGTTACTCTTTCCAACTGCCATGCTCACTCTTTGTCTCTACCATCACCCCCACCTTTCCCTCTTCCTACTTAGGTGGTTTTTGGGTTCCCATCAATCACCACTCCACATATTGCAGTAACCAGTGCCATGTGGCTGTGTGTGTGTGTGTGTGTGTGTGTGTGTGTGTGTGTGTGTGTGTGTGTGTGTGTGTGTGTGTTGTAATTGAACTATTTGTGGCAGAAAATCGGTCATTTAGGCAGAAAGGCATATAGCAAATTTCAATGTGTTTGTATTCAAGAGAGAGGTTATTTCGTTCACGATTGTGTGGTTTATATGCAGTTAATACAAACATTTAGATGACAAAAATAAAAAGATTTGATGCGTTTGATTAGGTATCACATTTCAGTAGATCAAAGATAGATAGAATATCTTTATTGAGAATGAAATAAAAGCAGTGATAAAAGCAGAGGTATTAAATGTACATATTTTACAAACTATGAATTTGAATATACAAAACTAAAAGCAATTAGATATAACTGTGTGTACATAAATAGATGTTGAAAAGTAAAAAAAAAAAAACATAAAGGGACATATTGTTTTTTTGTGGTTTGTAAAAGAAGGCACCACAAACAAACCTATTCATCAGAATGGGTTCAGCATTAACTCTTGTGTGTGTGTGTACACTGTGTACTAACTGGTGTTAACAATGGGTCCCATCTCAGCCTGCCACTTACTCTGCAGCCTATTGTCTCATCTCTCTGTGCTTGCTGTGACGCTTGCTGTGACACACACACACACACACACACACACACACACACACACACACACACACACACACACACACACACACACACACACACACACACA